CCACAGCCTCGGCGGCGCCGTCGCCATGCTGGCGGCGCTCGAGCTGCGCGTGTCCCTCGGCTGGGACGACCTCCTCGTGACGACCTTTGGCGAGCCCAAGGTCGGCAACCAGCCGCTGTGTGACTACGTCGATGCCGTCTTTGCGCTCGACGCCGAGGCCGCCGGCGCCGCGGACCCAGAGAAGCGCGTGTACCGCCGCGTGACGCACGCCGATGATCCCGTCCCGCTGCTGCCACTGACGGAGTGGGGGTACCGCTCGCACGGCGGTGAGTTCTTCATCACGAAGCCGGACCTGTCGCCGTCGGTCGAGGATGTCGTCGTCTGCCGCGGTGCCAGCGACGATCAGTGCATCGCGCAGGGCGACGTCGAGGTCGAGGAAGTGGAGGCGGTGGCCGACGAGGTTGTGCAGGAGGCGGGGGCGGAGGGACTCGCCGGGCCCGTCGAGGGGACGGCGCCCCAGGAGCGCAGGTGGGTCAAGAGATTCCCGAGCGTGCCGGCGCGCTTCAAGCTGTGGCAGCTGTTCTTCGCGCACCGGGACTACTTTTGGCGCATCGGCCTCTGCGTGCCCGGCGGGGACCCTGCGAATTGGGGCCGGGAGAAGTATCCTGACGGCCAGGGGGATGACGACGATGCCCGGCTAGAGGAGCTTTAGAGGATTGATCAGCGGGCGAAGCGACACGTTGAGCTGTAAACAGGATGAGTGGCCGAAGCGAACATATGGGAAAGGGCGCACAATTGCACTGGTGGGTTGGAGCGATTATGGGTAACGAGACTGCTGCCTGGCCCCTTTGTATTACTTTAAACCAGTCTGAATGTAGTATGATTATGCTTTTTAAAACTGCTCCCTGCATAATGGCCTCTTCGCTGCTGATACACATCTTGTTCACAGGGTGACATGATGTTGCTTCGACAGTCGGGCGACGTCGGGCTGGAGCGACCAGATACTGCGGATCGCCGACGCTGACGCCTCAAGATCAGTCCTTTTACCGCCTAGATTGACTACAAGAGTCTAGACAGGTCCCATCTCCAAGGTTTCCAAAATAGGTGCCAATGTGCCTTGGCTGCTCCACAGGTCTATGCTGTATAACAGCATGGACAGCTGCACGGGCCAGTGCAGGACCCCACGGGTAAAAAAATAAAATAAAAATAAAAATACAAACAGACTCGAAAACACACAGCAACTTCGTGCTCGGGATCGTGGCAGTGTCACCTGCTGCAATGACACGGTCCCATGCGTTCGGCCAGCAAGCCAGCAGCAAAATGTGCCCAGCAGATGATCAGCCCAAGTGGAGTGAGTCTCCACAAGTTCTATGAGGGCGAGAGCTGGGCCGTGAGCAAACATCTGGCTTACCTCAGCCTGTCTATCCCACCTGGCGCCCACTGATAACACGCTCCAGAATGTGTTTCAGACCCATTTTGGCGTGGCCTCAACGGTTAGCGCTGGCCGCGAATGATGGGCGCAGGGCGTTGGTCATAAATCTATGAGGGACGAGTGCAACTATCACATGGGCCATGTTTGTTGTTTTGTGTCTAGTGGCAGGATGCTGACGAGGCGGGGAGGGCGAGAGTGGCTGTTGATTTGTCCAAGGGTTGGAAAGGAGCCAAAACAAATAAGAGGTAGGTTGGTAGGCACGCTGGACAGATAGTGATGAGCAGCTCAAACTGGCGCCGCTCACTGCAAGGTCACGCCCGCCCTGCCCTGCCCCCTCCCCCGTGGTGAGGTGGAAAGTGGAGATCCGGCCGGCCCACGGCAGAGAGAGGTTGGCAGACAGGCGTGGCCTGGCCACCGGTACGTACCCAGATTGCATCGTCCGCCGCCCGCCGCCCGTCGCCAACCAGCCAGCCATCAAGCAAGCTGGAGGAGTGGGCGGGCTATGCACTAGTGTCGGGGGGCCACGGTTGAGCTTGGGCTCCCACTTCTATTTTTTGACAATGATGGTCGGTGAATGGGCAGACCAGCCCGCATGGCGACATGAGGATGCCCCAACCTGCAATCTCGGCATCTGAAATATCGTGGCAGGCGGCAGAGTGAGGCGGTAGACGAGGGGGCTCTTGATAGCGGCGGGATCAAGCAGAAGTGGTGGGTTGGACGAGATGATCCAGATGGGGAGGGGGAGAGGCAGAACAAGAACAGGTCGGGACTCGATGCCCCTCCCTCGTGATTGATGAGGTGCCAGCGAGCCGGCGAGCAGCCAGTCATCAGGCGGCAAAGGCAGATGAGTTGTTCAACAGGAGACGAACTGGAGCCCCAGGAGGCGAGGCATTGCTGGCTCGGCCCCTCCCAGGAAAAAAGCCCATGTCGAAAAAGAATCCCACCGTACCTACCTACCTACCTACCTACCTCAGGTACCTAGGTGCGTGACCGGGGCTGCTGGAACTGTCCCAAGTGTCCACAGACGCGGCCATGGCCCCGTCCCTGCACATGTCCATCCGCTGATGCCCGAACCGCCAGCCGCGAGGGGCCAGAGCCAGGAGCCAGGAGCTAGTAGCCAACAGCCAGCATGTCGAGGGCAGGACACAGCGGCCCCCGCTTCTCCCCTCGCCCAAGCAAAGAGGAGAGCAGGAGCAATGAACCAGCCCGATAAGTGTTTACCAGGCCGGGTAAGGTACCTAGCCAGCTACCTACCTCAGGTACCTGCCTAGGTAGCGTAGGAAGGAAGCCAGCCACAGCTTCCCCCCCCTCTTATCCTGCTCAAGAGAGGTACCTCTCTACCTGAGTTCTGGCCTTGCCTTCGTGACTTCCCACCAGTTGCCCTCGCCCCCCGGAAGCCCAAGCAGCCTGCCCCCCCCCCTTTCCCCTCCCACGACGCTTCAAACCCTGAAAGTCTCCCGCTCCGGACCCTCACCTCACCCTCGCCTTACGCACCTCACCCTGTCCACCCACCCTGCCTGGTCATTCAGTCCTGGCTGCGTCTCTGACCTGCCTGCACCTGCACCACTACCTACCTCCCTTACCTGCACTTTTCCCTCACCTCCATCTCCACACCACACCACCAACTCTCCCGCCTGTTTTCTTGTGAAAACAACAACCCACTACGATCCTCACATCCGTGCATCCCATCCCCATCCACATTACGCGT